CACCTCACCCACCGCCCTTGCCCATGGGTTTGAAACCCTCACCCTAAACCCACACCCCACTTGGCTCATGGACACCGGGAATTCTTTTTTCTTACTCTTAATGTTATTATATTGTATCCCCTTTAATTCTCTTTTTTTAGTCATTGGGACGAGACAATTTTGGATTTGAGTCATGCATAAGGCCAATTGGTGTTCAATCTATTGAAGTCTACAATAATTGAATTGTCAACAAAAGATAACAAGCCATAAGAGTATAAGTTATCCTTTGGATATTGAAAACTTGAAAGTTAGAAATAAGAGATTACATAATAGCTTATTTATAGTCTTGAATAAAGTCTCTCCATTACTATATTATAAGAGAGTAAGAAGTTGCATGTATTTCAAGTATCTTCATTACATTTAAACATTATTGTGATGATTTTTGAGATGTATATGTAATAGAAATATTTATAGTTATACTTGTGTAATGATTATATGATGCTCTATTTAATTTCTCAAGAGCTTGTGTATGTTAAACTGCAGATTGGTCATGTGTTTTCACTAAGAAATGAGTGATGTAAGGCGATTTTTTTTATTTTTGAGAAATCTGCAACGGACTTTTATATCTGTCGCAGATCTGCAACGGACTTCTATTCTGTCGCAGATGTTTTTTGCTAGATTTCTGCCACTTCTCTTCGTCGCAGACACTGTCGCAGATTTGCGAAGAACACAAACTTCCGTCGCAGATTTTGGCCTAGCGACAAGTTATTTGCAACGGACAAAGTTTGTTGCAGATCCGTTGCAAATTCTGAATTTGCTACGGAATTCGCAAATCTGCGAGGGAATTTGTCCGTCGCAGATCTTACAAATTCTTGTAGTATATGGAGTACGTTCTATCTTAAAATTTTTCTCATAAATAATTTTCGGTTATCCTCGCTAAGATGGGTAACAACCAGGCGGTGGGTTGGAGAGATGTTGATCGAGCACCCACCGGATGGCGTGCGTCGTCAAGCTTTGGAAGAGGACAAAGTGGACAATTGTTGGTTAAGATATGTATTAGAGAGGAACCTCTTATGAGGTCTTCTTTCTCCTCATTTCGATCTGAATAAGGACTATTAACCTCAAAAAAACATATCATTAATTCATTATAGGTTGGACCGGATTCAAAACGATGAGACCAAAGTGGTCTTTGAAACCGGACCGGCTTAGACCGAGGGTCACATCTGGTTAAATTCATAGGTGAGGTGGTCTTTTCCGAAAGACTAAACCGAGACGAAATAAAACTAAAGATGTAATATATTTGAAATACAGTTTTTGTACAAACATATTTACACTTTGAATTTTAATTTTTATATAAACACGCCTATCTTATCAATTTAGAGAACAAAAGTTTACAAAAGTTTAATTTTTATATAACAAAAGTTTTTATTTTTTACTACGGAGTAGTATAAATTTACAAATAGTGAAAACAAAATTTAAAAATCTTAAATGAACAAAATATGGAAATTGTTACTTTTTATTCTATCTAATTTCTACTTTAGATAAATGTAATAACTTCTACTTTAGATGAAAGTATCACTACAAAAAAATCGCGCATTAGGCACGGATTGCGTCGTGCCTTTGCCGATGGAGAGAAAATGCCACATGGCGCAATGCTGTGCGAGGCTGAATTTGGCACTACCTTGTCCGTGCCAATTTCACAACCTTTACGCCGTTTCGTTTCCGTCGGGCAACGTTAATTTTTAATAACTTGCCGGGACGAAGATGTGCCAAATGTCGTGCCTAATGAATGCCAATAGGCAATAATTGTTTTTGTTAGACACTAATACTAATAGTACTTCTTGTAGTATTGGTTATGGTAGTGTTTCATTATTAGTCAGCTTCTTAGTCCTATTTGTGGTAGATGTTGTATGTTAGTTAGTTTCCATTCTTTATTCCTAGTTGTGTTAGGAGTCTCTCCTATATATACTCTATCATGTACTTCATAATTCAAGGAGCAATATTATTATTCTAATATTTCAACATGGTATCGGAGCCACCGCTCTTGGTGACCTAAAAAAAGATCTTTGCTCCCACGTCCCGCCGCCGCCGCCGCCGGTATTTCTGGCGACGGCGGCTCCACCCTATTCACCTCTATTTTCTTTTTCTTCTTTATCCTCAAATCAATTTCTCCATTCAAATGAAAAAAAAGAAAAAAAACCTGTGGAAATCACACAAAAAAACTATCAAAGGATAAACTTCTTTCTTCTTATCTCCATGGTTCTTCAAAAAAAAACCAACTCTTCACAAACTCCCTGAGATCATCCTATCTTCTCAAAAAAAGGAAAAAGATTGTTGTTTCTCTCCAATTTACCATATAAGAATCTCATATGTATGTAGATCTTTTCTCCATCACCAATTCTTAATCCATCTTTTTTTTCCTCTCTAAAATCACTCATTCTAATCATCAACCTCGATCCTTTTTCTTTTTCTTTTGTTGAACCAATAAAAAATCCAAAAAAAAATAACACAAAAGCAACGCCAATAGGGGAAGTAGTGAAAGAGGAAAGAATCCTNATGTATGTAGATCTTTTCTCCATCACCAATTCTTAATCCATCTTTTTTTTCCTCTCTAAAATCACTCATTCTAATCATCAACCTCGATCCTTTTTCTTTTTCTTTTGTTGAACCAATAAAAAATCCAAAAAAAAATAACACAAAAGCAACGCCAATAGGGGAAGTAGTGAAAGAGGAAAGAATCCTTCTACACCCCTTCAAGAAAGAAATAGGGCATTGCCCGGATCCAAAAAAAAGACAAAGAATGTCAAAGATCTTCAGTCAAACAGGCACCTCAAATAGCCTTCTCTATTCTTCTTCGACGTCAGCAGCTACAAGCGCACGTCAACCTTCTCTGTTCTTCTTCGACGTCAGCATCTACCAGCACACGTCAATTTCTCTCTTCTTGAACGATGTCTACAACTACCAATGCGCGTCAGACTTCTCTCTTCTCCAACGACGTCAGCAGCAACCGGCATGCGTCACACTTCTCTCTTCTCCAACGACGTGAGCAGCCACCGGCGCATGTCCGACTTCTCTCTTCTCAAAGTTTCCAGTTTCCATCTAGTGTCCAAGCTTCCTCTTGCTTCAGCCAGAGTTCATCTTGAGGAGGGATGTTAGACACTAATACTAATAGTACTTCTTGTAGTATTGGTTATGGTAGTGTTTCATTATTAGTCAGCTTCTTAGTCCTATTTGTGGTAGATGTTGTATGTTAGTTAGTTTCCATTCTTTATTCCTAGTTGTGTTAGGAGTCTCTCCTATATATACTCTATCATGTACTTCATAATTCAAGGAGCAATATTATTATTCTAATATTTCAACAGTTTTCACTTTTGTAAACAGTCATGCCTATAAATGTGTGCCAAAAAACTGGTTCTGAAATCCCTATATAAGAACATCAGCCTTGTACTCTGTTATAAATATGTTATCAGAAAAAATATTATATGCATTATTTTGATGAAATACAGGACAATAAATATATTTGGTGTTTCTGCAAGTATTTTTCCGGTGTTTCAATTTGATTATATCCTTCCGGTAAGTATTCTTACTATCAAGTTTTATAAAATAAAAAATAAAGTACTTATTTATTAATTTAAACATGCATTTGTTTAGATTATACTCTCTCCCTCCAAAAAATTCTTTCTATTTGACTTTTTAATTATTTCAATGGAACATTTTAATCGTTAATATTTCTCTATTTATGTATAGATATATATTATTTCCTCCGTCCTAAAATTAACTTCCCATTTGACTTTTCACAGTTTCCAATGCGACACTTTGACCATTAATATCTCCATTTTTATATGAATATATATTATAAAAATAATATATATTTCAAAACTATGTTTCAAAATGAATCTATTGATAATAAATGTATATGAAAATTCAATATATTTTTTCCGTAATATACAGTCAAAGTTTAAAAGTTTGACTTCAAAAGTCAAAATGAGAAGTTAAAATTGCAAGAACTTTGTCCATTTCCCACAACATTTGATGTATGTTTTTAAATATGTAATTTTTATTTTTTATTTCTATACAAATATTTATTGTGTATTTGATAAAATAAAATATTATTCGAATAAAATCACGAGAACTTTGTCTATTTTGCACAACATTTGATGTGTGTTTTTAAATATGTAATTTTTATTTTTTATTTCTATACAAATATTCAAATAAGATGAATTAAAAAATCATGAGATAATACTTTATTTTGTAACATTAGGCACGTATATTTATCGGGCCAAATCAATTTAAATAACGTGTAATTAAAATATTCATAAAAACACTATTTTGAAGTCAAACTAATGGCACAGATATAGGTCGTGCCAAAATTAAAATTTGAAATTTTCAATATTCGAATTTGAGGTATTGGCGCCTCTTTTAATTTTCAAATTTGAAAAAATTTATGGCACGGAAAGTATCGTGCCACCTGTCCGTGCTAGATTGGGCACGGACTGATGCACGGTCTGCGCCGTGCCAATAATTTAAACGTTAAACTGTTAGTGGTGTTAGGTTGGAACGGCGCTTCTGTGCT